ACAAACGGAGATTTCCTGATTTGTTTAGCTGCTCCTGCTGGCGAGAGGAGCCATGGTGGAGAGGTTGGCCAGTGTGTGTAGCAACATACTAGCTTGTTATGAATAAGTCAAAACTCTGTCTTTCCTGTACATGTGGTTCCTAATTCATTTAAGGGCTGCACTCTATAGGTACTGTTCACTAAAGCTAACAAAGGCACGGTCTCCTCTTGCTTTCAATGACATCAAGAGAGGCCAGCCCCACCTCAAATATTCAATGCAGAACTTTAATTCCCACATACATAACCTTAAAATAGATTTTTTTTGTTTTCTAACAGTAGACATTCATACAATGAACATGCAGTTGACCAAATGATCAAATAATGAGGTGATCTGCACCTGCATGAACCAATGCATTAACCAACCGACTATTTATCCAACATGGAAGATTATTTTAAGTACAAGAAGCTACATTTTAGTGCAAATCAGCTACATTAACCAATTGTCAAGGGACTTTGGGATTTTTTTTTTTTTTTGGGATGCCAACTTGCGGAACTCCCCAAAAATCCCCCCCCCCCCAGGCAAAATTCTGGGAGATCCAGTAAAAAAGAAAGACAAAAATCTACAGGTGAACTTCTCTCACCTCCATCACTGGCTCTGTTGCCATGATCTTCCATTTAAAAAAAGAAGGAAAGGGCTCCATTGCTCCCTGGGACATGCAAGGCTTCATGTGGTAGTTACTTGGAAAGGGCGCTCTGCAGACCCTAACGTTTATAGAGCTTCCCTTCCTCAGCAGCAGTTTTTACTGGCCACTGGCATGTGGCTCTTTATTTAATTTTAAAAATATCTGGAACATCCTATCTGTACCCATTAGGGGTACTGCCCAGGCATATCACAAAAATTGCAATAGTTAAATATATATAATAAAACAGAGACACATTTCTGTCCTGGTGAACAATATTGTTAATTTAAGATATGTTGACCATCTGAAGAGACTACAGGTAGGTTTTCATTGTCATTTTAGAATGCTAAAATGCTTTTTAAAATTAAACAGAAACTAGAGGAAACCCCTGCGAAGCAGAACTGACAGTTGTACTTTGCTGTGTCATTAGGAACTAATGCCAGATGGCCTCTCATAGCAGAATCACAACTGAAAAAGAAGGAAAGCACTATACAGACTTCACAACCAAAAAACATAGGCAGTAAGAGACACAATCGGTTCTAAAAACAGACTGTGTATATTTCACTGACATCCTACATGTACAAATTTTAGCAATTTGTGCAGGGGCACCCATGTACGCATAACCTTTTGGCCCTAAAGTTTGCCCAGGGAGGCTCAAAAGGCAGAACGTTGACCAGCATTTCCAATAATGTATGGCTGGAATGTCTTAGCCCTGCCAAACTCACAATCCCCCTGTTTCATCTCAAGCAAAAACAGAATTGTGCAAAATACCAGGATACACATCCGTGTTTCCTTAATTTATATGACACACTGTATGTAAGCTGCAAAATTCGGGTTACTTTTTGCCCAGCATTTGTTTTGCTCATGCACAGAGCATGCATATATACATCCTTGGTTATGCAAACCTGATGGTCAATAATATCTTGATTTAATTCAAAACTATTTAATAACAGTTTTGTTTAATAATGAAATCTGTGTATCTGTGCTTGCTTGTTCAGGCAGGGAATTCACTCCAGAAAAATGTGGCACAACAGCCCAGGACTGCGTATTTTAGCTAAAACAAGGTGCTTTAGCTAAAATATCATGAGATACCTTGTTTGTATCAGTTATTGTCCTGTCCAAATGTTGTTTAATGTGGAAGCAAACATGCTTTTTAGATCTTGGACCAAACTGTTGAATCATTTATCTATGTGCAAATACATTTTCCTAGAAAGGTTGCTTCTTCCGCTACTCACAATGCTACAACACATGCATTCCTGGTAGCTTTATTTTTAAAGACTGCTAAAATACATTCCAGTACTACTGTTCATTTTAACATTTATGTGCATAACAAGTTAAATTAAAATAACCTTTAGAACATTTCAATGAAAAGACAAAATTATTCAGGGACGACTTTTCCTCTCATAAAATCACGGAGCAACAAGAAGAGAGAGATCATATTATTTAAGGTGGAAACAATACCACTGTTTTCTGCGACTCCAGTTCAAGGGTAAAAGATTTATATTATCCATGCCAAGATTAGGGCATCAGTTAAAAACCAGGTCTTTTAGGTATGCTGAAGCATATAATCTCCCTTAGAGAAGCTTTTCCATAACAATCTAAGATACTCTTGTGCACCCAGGAGAGTTCTGTGTCCTGTCCTGGAATACAAACTCAGGTGACAAGCCAGATTCATCATGCTTTGCCAAGACGCCATATACAGTAATTTGAAGTGCATCCCAAAACAAAACCAGCATCTTCCTGTGCATGTACAAGACACAGTAAAATTCATGATGGGCATCTTCCATTAGACTGTTCTCACTTAGGAGCCAGAGGTTCCCCTGAAACGCACCTGAAAAACAACATACAGTATGCAGCAATACAAGAGCAGCCCTGATGGGACAGGGCAGAATTTTACCCACAGATTGCCACACCTGCCCGCCAGGTGCCTCTGGAAGCTCAGAAGCTGGACATGAAGACAATGTCTCTCTCTTCCGGCTACTCCTCAATATCTAGTTCTGAAAAGCATGCTGCCTCTGAAATGTGGGGTAACATATAGTCCTCGTGGAAGGTAGGCAAGTAGCCGGTGACGGATTTTTCCCTCATGGATACGTATGCTTGCTCCCCTTCTGAAGCCACCTGAGATAGCGACTATTGTCCTCTTCCCATGGCAGCAAATTCCTCAGAATAATAAGGCATTGTGCAAAGCCATACTTCCTTTAGTTTGTTGCACACCTCCTGACAAATATTTCCCACCAGACGACCCTAAATTCTAGTTATTATAAAAGAGGAAGGAGAACATCTGTAGCTAGTTTCTCTTCCTCCATGGTATTTCCCTCCAGCTACCTTCCTCCCCCCCCCCGCCAGACAAAGTCATGTCAATTGCAACCTTTCCTTGTAGGGAAGGTGTCTGGGCCACCTGGTCATTTTGCCTGCCCTCATTTTCCATGTATTTCAAGTGTGGCCACAGCACAAGATGTGCAAAAGAGCATTATGATAGTTACCATATTTTATTTTCAATCCCTTTCTGCACCAGAAGGCTTTTCAGACATGGACCTCTGCCCTGATTAGCTAGGTTCCTTCTGTCCCTAGGGCCAAGAAACCAAATCCAAAGCACACTTAGATAAATAGCGTGGAGTCCTTCTCACTATTCCCATTAATCATTTGTGGGACAAAATAAAAACAAGGTGGAATGACAAAAATCTTAAATGAATTGAGAAGAGGGACGCTGCTGGCCAAAAAAATTAAGCAAAATTGTTTTGCATCTCACAACATTGCGGATGCTCATTTTGTTGAGCTCTGCAACTTTACCCAAGCTTAGGTGATCTTCTCTGTGCATATCTCTGGTTAATGCCCTGACATTTTGCATAGGAAGAAGCAAAAAGAATCCCAAGACAATTCAATCAATTTCTATCCATTAGGCTCCACAGCACAATACCTAGCCACTCTGCTATGGGGTGGCGGAAAAAGGGGACAGGCAGAAATCTTTTAGATGGAACAATTTCATTCATGTTATCCCATTTCTAAACTAGCATCCCCCTTCCTGCACTGCAAGCCTTTAAACTTGATTTTCCAACACTTGGGGAAAAAAAAGAATTATGTCAAGAGTTGGCTGAACTTTGCACACACCCAATATCTGAGCAATCTTACTGGCAGAATGCAAAAACCAACATCTGTTCCTCTAATGCCACCTGAAGGAAGACAAAGGCATTCAGAAAAAAAATGTACAACAAAATAAACTAAAAGCAGTTGGGGTGCAAAGGAATATTTTTGTTTCTCAATATAGGAAGGGAAGGGGCTATTTCCTATCCCATTACTTATTAGGAGTAGGAAAATGCCCATCAGTACAATGGAGAGAAGATGGCAGAAGGAAAGGCCATAAGCTGCAAGATTTCTTGCAAACTTCTCTGGGGCCAAGCTATTCAATGAAAGAGGCAAATGGCAAGTAGAACAGACAAATGAGTGGAGGGATGATTAGCAACAGGGGCCAGAATGCAAGGATGGATGAGGTCAGCAAGCAGGCTCAGAGACAGGGTAGTGGTAGTCAAAAGACAGCGAGGGTCTACTGAAAGATGTTAGTTAGCCCTGTATCTTATTTATTAGCTGCTTACAGCCATGGTTTATTCTTGTTATTTATCATACATCTACTTGCTCTGGATGTTACCTTACATAAATAATATACATGTTATATTTAAACTAATTTTGTTCCAATCTGGGTAGATCCATAGGTTAGCCTGTTCCACTCTTTGAGCTGGTTATGACAAACAAATTATATACTATATTTAAAAGAATGTCTTCCTGATTGTTGAAGATCAGTAGATGGTAGAAAGCTATTGGGGATAGATCTCAATGGACTAGCTGAATGATTTGCCCAATGACCTCTGGCAGCCACCAGGGATCTCCCAGTTACCCCACACTATGTCTTGCTTGTGGTGTGTTTTCTCTCCACTACCATACGCTTGGAGTAAACACCGGCCATTCATTTATATTGCTGAAATTAAATGTCAGGATATTTGCCCTGTCTACAATGAAGCAAGACAACGCCTACGACGAGGTTCCATTTGTTCACAACTGCACGCCAGGGCTGCTGGCCATCGGCTTCATTCCATAGGAACTAATCAGCTCCTTGGAGAGCCGAGCCACCCCTATGTGAAGATTCATGTGCATGGTCCTAACCAGGTTCTATTTCTTCTCCCAAGCTCTCTTTAAAAACATTTCTACATGGCTGAGCATTCAAAGGCATGAATCGCATTTGCAACTGCAAGGGGTACAGGGGTATACGTAAGACATGAATCTGCTGCTGCTTTAGCTCTCATCTAACTCATCCCCAATCATTTTTTTCCTATAGGCATGGCATACTTACATTTAAAGCGTTTTTAGCAGCTTCTGCTTCTGAGCGACTGTCAAAACTAACGAAGCCCACTGGCTGGAAGAGAGTAAAGGAAATCACTGGGAGCTGTTAAGGATTGCAACATATTTCAGAAATAGGAAAACATACAGAATTTATACATTACTATAGCTGCTACTTTAAACGGACAGTTGAAGAGAGAATGAAATGAGGTGCTGATGATGGCAAATTTGAACTGGTGACCTAGTGTGTTTAAAGCACACCTGCCTATTATTTTGACACTACTGTACCTTTTTTTTCCTGGCATGTTGGAGAGAAATGGGAATAAGCATGTTAATGCTGGTTGTATCTTTTAACATAGTGCAAAATCCTTTTGATGCAATTTATGTTGCTCAAGTAGGTTAACATTATCATCCCATGACAGAAATATTGGATTTAAACTAGAGATGGCCACAAATTACTTCCTTGCACTTCGTACAAAGCATGCTGCATGGCACCACAGGTGTAGCAGGGACCCATCTCCCACCCCTCTGGCCAGCTGGGCCACTCACTGTGCATTGTGGGAAGCTGGGGTCCACCTTCTCTAGCGGCGCTCCAGTTCGGCAAGGAGCTTGGCCTGTCCCTCCTTGCCTCCTCCAACAGCCAACCACTCCTATGAGGAGGCAGGACAGCGATTCCTCCTGTGCAGCTGTGGAGTGGTCATCTGCTGGAGGAGGTGGGGAAAGGCAAGCTGAGCTCCTTGTCACACTGGAGCTCCACCAGAGAAGGTGGACCCTGGTGGCACACGGACATGGTATGTGGCCCAGCTGGCCAGGGGTGAGATGGGGGATGGGTCCACACAACATCCATGTTTCATACAAAGCATGACAAAGTGATTCGTGCTCATCTCTAATTTAAGCTAATAAAAGCACCCTAGGTTTGACATATTTTTTTAAAAAATGGTGTTGCATTTTAATGTGCAGTAAATAAGTATTGATGGAGTACAACTTAAAAATAAATGGTTGATTTAAAAAACAAAAACAAAATGTTGTTCCATGCTTTTCAAAACTGTTTATGCAAGCTACTTCCAGGAGTTTCTCTGAAAGTCACCTAAATGCTGGAAATAAAAGGACTAAATCATCCATATGCATGGCCTCACTAGGGATTGCACTTCTGTTCTTTTTCAGATTGCGGGTGTTTTATTATGCAGCATTGCTTTGTCTAGAGGCCAGGCCTTGGTGCTACAAATTGATTCCAAGGTTGAGCGTGAGTAAACCCTTGCTTATACTGAATCCTGGCAATGATTGTTTTTACCAGAGAAGCCAAAAAGAAAAAGGTTAATCTATAAACATTTGTTAATTTCCAGGGTAAAGGGAAATAACTCGGGATAACAGGGAATATATCATGCTATACATAATCACATATTATCCGTGCTTAAACATACCATTATATTAAAGACTTTTGTGTCCGTTAGTTGCCTATACCATTCCAACTAGAGTTATTTGGCTATTTTGTATTAAAATTATCACATTTGGCTTTCAGGTTATAGAACGGATCCAGTTATATATAGAGTCCCATTTTTCACTTGCTTCTTGGACTGAATGGTCTTTCAAAGTTTTTGTTGAGGTCTGACATATTAAAGTTCAACTGACTTCAAAAAGATATCCGTGTTACATAGCACGAACTGATGCTTATAAAAACAAACCAAGTTTAAAAGTCTAGGGCCAACCTTTCTGAAGCCTACATCTGAGGATAGTTCAGGTCTTGCTACTTATAGCTACACCTATCTGTAACTTAAAGCACTACAAATCATTTGGCAAAATTCTGGTGGAAAGGGGGATTAGCCAACTAACCAACTAATAACTAAATGATCAGAATAGAGTACCTTTTAGATACACTAGATCTGTTGTTTCAGACTATAAAAATACAACAAACGCAGGCAACACAAAAACACAAACCTGTACATCTATAATTTTAAGCAACCATAGTGAGGCTGCGATTATCCAGTTCTTCTCAAATAAGCAAACTAAACTCTCCCTCCAAACCTTGGACAGAATATAAAAACAAGAGTATGTCTTGTTGTGACACTTCATTTGTCACATTATCAAAGAAGTACTGAGGTACAACATTTAGACCACAACATCAATATGTCCTCTATCCTAAACACCTTACTCGCAGCACCTGTAAAAAAAATTCACCTGGGAAGCAGGTAAAATGAAATTGATACAGTCATGTTTCTTATAAAAGTGAAACTATTACCATGGAGAATTTTTAAATACTTACCCATGTCTACCCAATTTTTGACATTTCCAAGATGCTACACATTCTGCCAAACACAAGGACTTTCACTAGTGAATATCAAGATCTGCCATCCAAAACCTTTTGTCACAATCTAACTGCTACTGCCTTATGTGTAAGGAATAGAGAAGGGCACACCCTAGGAAAACAGTGACTCGTGATGGCCATCACTATTCACGAACCAAAAGCTTTCCGATGAAATGAACTGTTTCATGGTTCGTGCGATTCTGGACTTCCAGGAGTGCCAAACTCACAGTAAGTCTTCAGCTGAGTCTATTTCCCATCCCCTCCAACTCTGGCAAAGATCAGATTTGGATATTTGAGTTGCAGCCCCCCTCCCAAAGCAGGTTCCCCTAGGAAAATGCTCTTTAGCAGCTGGTTGGGGAAAATTAAATGAGTGGTTCATGCAAGGATCCTTGAGACAGGGTATTGCTCATCATGAGGGAGACTGGGAAGGGAACAGAAAGGGGGCAGAGTGAATGGACTAGCTAGCAAAGCATTCTCTTCTCACGACAGCTGCTGCAAGAGTGAACCCACCAGCTGAGCTGCCGAAGATGTGGTTCCTATATAGCCAGTTACTCCCAGAGAACAGACGTGGAGCTCCTTGATTGGCTGCCTAACCTGACAATCAATTCTACACAAAGTTTTCTCTAGGTCCACCCCAGTGTTGCCTAGGGAAATAATTGAATGGCACCAGACTGGCTGGACAGGGACCACGCGCCTAAAAACGAAGCATACGAATTGCCAACGCTAACAGTTTGGCTTTTCTTTTTGTTCTGGGCAGGCGCATTTCCCTGAAGCCCTCCGGAATGAAGCACATAGTGGCCCAATTTGTGGGGTTTTTTCCTGCTTCGTGGTTGTTCCGTGTCCATCTCTAGTAGGAAAGCATGTTGCAGCTGTAAACAGCCTGGAAACAAGAGTGTCCTTTGAAAATGTTATCCCTGAGAGTCCTAGTAACGCAATTCTTAAACATATATGCTATCAAATAAAGAGGCAGTTTTCAGGAGCCAAAGTCCTCAAATCAACCCTGTCTTCTGCAGGTAGCATTTCCATTTCCATACAAAATATCTAACAACTTCCCACTAGCCTAAGATCAGACTGGATCCACACAGGCATATTGCTTTATGCAGGATGCCTCTTCCACATGACAGGAAATTCTGTAAGAGGCAGTCCCCACAACCGTTTATGGAAGTGCAAGCCATATAACGATTTATGGCTTCCATTAAATGAATGCTGGCTGAAGAGGGGGCTTAACCCTCAACAACTGAACAGAACCTTTTACCAACTGATAATGACATATATCCCTGTGTTTCCGAACAAATTTGCTAAATTTCACAATACATTTCACATAACATAACCTGACCTATAAGCTGATGCTTCTAAACTGAATACCAAAGGACTAGCCTGTATCTGAAGTACTGTATTAAGATTTCCTACCACCTGCACTATCTACCAAGCTCACTTTATAAATAAGTACTGACAGAGTTTAAGGACTTTACTGCTTATTAAGCTTACCTGTTTAGATGTGAGTTTAATAAGAGAACCTTCATAACCCTGCAGGGAAAAATAAAATAGAAATTACACTCTAGTAAAGATGCCATTTCAGATCTCTATAAAAACAATTGTATACAGTATATTTTCCCTTGACTTAGTTGTCACATTGCTTTCTCAAGAAAAAAATAGCCTTTAAAAAGATTGAGGGGAAAGATTAAATGATTTTCTTTGACACCAAAGCATAAGATGTACTAACCATGGACTGCTGCAATGCAGTCTACGTGGGGCTGCCCTTGAACAGTGTTCAGAAACAACAGCCGTTGTAAACAAACCAAACTTATCTCTGGTGTGCCCTTTAAAAACCATACAGTATATCGCCTTTCCTGAATGAAATTGCACCAGCTTCCAATCTACCCCAGAGCTCAATTCAAATTGCTGATGTTGACTTATAAAGCCATGTATTCCTGGGGGACAGAATATCTGAAAGGCACCTCCTCTCATTTGAGCCTCTGGAATCTGAGCTTTTCAGCAGACATTCTTGTTACATACAGTGGTGCCTCGATTTACGATTGCTTCATTTAATGACGAAATCGCATTACGATGAACTTTTTGCGATCGCTTTTGCGATCGCAAAATGATGTTTCCTATGGGGGAATTTCGCTTTGCTTCGGGAACCGATTCTTCGCAAAACGATGATTTTCCATCAGCTGATTGGCGGTTTCAAAATGGCCACCGGGTAAATAAAATGGCTCCCTGCTATGTTTAGGGAAGGATTCCTCACAAGACAGGCAGTGAAAATGGCCGCCCTATGGAGGATCTTCGCTGGACGGTGAGTTTTAAGCCCATAGGAACGCATTAAACAGGTTTTAATGCATTTCTATGGGCTTTTAAATTTTGCTTTGCGATGTTTTCGTTTTACATTGATTTCACTGGAACGAATTACAGTGGTGCCTCGCTTAATGAGATCACTAATGCGATCGCTTACCGATGGCCTCTATGGCCAAAACTCGCATTACGAAGATCGGTAAGCGTTTCGCTTACCGATCTTCGCATAGCGACGCCGGGAAATCAGCTGTTCGGCGGCTCCAAAATGGCCGCCGGACGACCCAAAATGGCCACCACAACCATTTCCGCGCCCTGCCCTCGCTTACCGAGGGCGCGAAAATGGCGGCACTATGACGAAACTTCACTTAACGGTGAGTATAGAAGCCATTGCGGCGCATTAAACTAAGTTTAATGTGTTCCAATGGCATTTTACGTCCCGTTTAGCGATGTTTCCTCATAGGGACGGTTAATCCGGAACGGATTAACCTCGCTATGCGGGGCACCACTGTATCATCGTAATGCGAGGCACCACTGTATTACATATTTCTCTCTTCAGTCTGAGGCTGCCAGGTCACTCTAGTGAGGACATGTGGCAGAGCTCTCTCTCTCTGCAGGAGGACTGTGGAACACCTTCTCAAGGGAACTCCTTGCTGGCTAAATTACCTCTGGTGTCATCTATGGATTGAGAAGTGGAGGAAGGAACTCCTGCAAGACTCGACTAGAGCTGGTGGGGCTCACCATGCAGTTCTACAGAGAAGAGCATGGACATAAAATCTGGGGTGTTTAGACTCATTACCTCCAAGGGGTAAACTTGTTAGGGGACAATTCAACGATCCAGGAAGCTCAGATTTGGTATATGTGTTGTCCTAGATGATCTGATATAGTTAACAATGAAAATGGGATATCTGAATGTCTTGCCTTCAAAACCAAGGGATGCACAGAAATATCATGTTGCAAGACACCTTGACTGCTAGAAAAATATGGAAAGGGATGCTTATACTTCTCTCCCCCCAAATAAGTCGGAGTCATGGAGTTGGTTAAAATATTTCAACATTAGCTCAATCAGAAATAGTTTTATATACACACTGAGTAAGATGCTGCATTTAGCAACAAAGTGTATGGAGACAGGACATGACATTTGTCTTTTAAGACAAACCAGCACTTCAACACTGAAGGGACCCAGCTGCGCATGGAAAAGTATTCTGGACTGTGAGAAGTCCTGTTTCCTGATCTGGTAGGGGCAGGTCTTTAAGTACCAACCAGGGATGTAAATCCGTGCATGCAGAATTCACACGTGCGTGTTTAACGTGTCATGCAGTCATGTATTGTTCTCATGGCTCCCATCCAAAATCTGTATTGTCATTAAGAATTAGTATTTATAACTTGCCAACCTGGTCACATCACTAAGCTATTTATAAGCATTCCGTTCTTGGGCTCTGAGCAAACCTCTGATCCATGGCCAAGCCAAGTTCTGATTTAAAGTAAGATCTTATGATAGACTGCATCTCAGACTTTTAAAATCCAGATACTGGGCATATATTTGGAATTTCTGTCTGCCTCTCCAGAAAAAAAAAATCACACATTTCTGTGTTCATGTGCCACAAGGTTCATATAAATCACCCAACTGATTGAATTCCACTCAAACATTTCTTCAGGAAGTGACAGTAGAAGTTGAGTACCTACCTTGAACGGTCTGAACAACAGATAGAGTTCCCGGGGTTTGATGTCCAGAGGCAGGCCACTGACAAAGAGCGTCCGCACCTTTAATAAAGACAAAAGCAAAACAAAAAGCTACTTGTCAAGAAAATCAGTGTAACTTTCAGTACTGTGGTGTTTTCTTTTTAAGCCCCCCCCCCATAATAGTTCTTTCCGCCTTGCAAGTCTACAAGGATTACAAACCCACTGATTCTACATGTCTGTGTTAATTATCTGTGACAAATCAACAATCTACATATCTACTAATGGACTGGAAGGTAGGGCAGGACTTACAAAAGCTCTGCTGGTTACAAGTGACTCTTTCTCACCCAGGAAAAAAAAATGAACTTCTGCTTTTTTCAAACATATACAATGGAAATAGTTTCAGAAGCATTAAATGCCAGCATTCATTTTACATGGGACTTAACAGGGATGATTCCAAGACCAATCTTAGCCAATTCTATGTGGTAATCAGGGCATGTGGAAGTATGCCAGGCCCCTCCCCTTCTAGCCTTCCAAAAGTTGCTAAAACAGAGCTTTTTAGAGAAGATTTTTGGAATATTCCCCCACCACCCATGATTGATTCTTACATTATTTTGTCTATTTTTTTATCTTGTTGCCATCATAACAAGATATTTATTTATTTGTTTGTTAATTAATTAATTGATTAATTGATTGATTGATTAATTAAGGAAGGAAGGAAGGACTATTGCATTGAATTAATGTCACAATCCATTATGACCAATATTAATGGGATGTTTCTCTTATACAGCACACAAATAATGCTATTAGGTACAGGGAGGTTAATAGATAGGGATGGATTTTAGCGTAAAATGAACCTGCAGTCCCATAATTTGGCAGAAGTGCCTCTATGGACTGAACTGTGGGACTGGGAGCCATCAAATGGTAGGAGGTACAGCAGCCCTCTTATATCCATGCCGTCCCCGTGCTGCTTCTTCCTGCTTTCTGCAGTGTTCCTGTGCATGGGTCTCAATGTTGATGGTTCCCCATCCTGTAATGCAGCTAAAATCTTCACAAATGTCTCCCTTGCAAGGCCTTTGGGCACATGTCTTTGTGGTATCAGGTTTATTGGCTCCTGAGACAGTGCTCTCAGCTATGGTATCAGAACTGTGGCATTTTCTCTGCAGAGAAAGCTGCCAGATTCCGCTGTTCTGATGCAACCTATCTACTTCACTGGGCTTTTAATGCATAGGTGCTCCTAAGCTTATGATAACCAGCTCCTGTTAATAATTTTCCATGAGCAACAAAACACTTTCTCTACTCACACTGGGCCCTCACAAATGAATTTCTGTGTGCTCTAGAAGTTTCATCTTCCCTCCATTTCCGGGAAATTAAGCTACTATCATTTGCACAGATGAATTACAAGATTTCCCCAGCTTTGAAAAGTTTAAGAAACTATTTTTACTGTTTACATCACCTTATACACTGTGACAGGCATAGAAAAGTCACACTTTGTTTAAAAAAATAATTGAAGACATTCCAAAACCAAACCAATTTTTTTTGCAATGTTTTGTACCCTACTACATTCCATCCTCACAAAGAATATGCTGTTGTTTTAAGTAAGAGGCCACCTGTCAAGTCTTCTAACAGGTTCTCTGTTTAGAGCTCCATGACCACAAAATATTTCTACTTGTCTCCCACTGTCACTATTCCCATGATTTGCGACTGTTTTTTGAGATCTTCTATTGCACAACCTCCCTTAAGCTAGGAACGCAGGTTTATTCCAAAACTCATAAAAGGCTGCTCACACTGAACTTTGCAAGATGAAATATCCAACTGCTGTTTGTCTATCCTACGTTTCCTAAAACCAAACATTATTTTTTGCAGCACATCAGATTGTGAAGCATTAAGGTGGTGCTTATTTTGGAGCTACTTTATACACAGTATGAAATGTTTTAGCCTGGTTGGTGCCACTTCCCATTACAGTTGGGAGAAGAGGAACGTCTGCCCCCCCCTCGCCAGAAGTTGTGGGATTTCAGCTCCTACAGCCTCAGCCATTATTACCAAAGATCAAGAATGCTGGGAGCTACGGTCCAATATCTGGAGGGACACCAAGCTCTTTCATCCTTGTTTTAGAGATATGCACAATTCTCTAGCTTTGCAAAGTAAAGTCAGAGTCACCAATATGATCCACATAAAATGAGTGTCTTCTACCAGCTGTCCAGTCCTTTCTTCCACATCCTGCAATCCAAATCTCATGAAAGGAGAGGGAGAAATGATAGCTGTGATTAGGTTATAAGTCACACATTGTTGTTGTTTAGTCGTTAAGTCATGTCCGACTCTTCGTGACCCTATGGACCAGAGCATGCCAGGCCCTCCTGTCTTCCACTGCCTCCCGGAGTTTGGTCAAATTCATTTTGGTTGCTTCAATGACAGTGTCCAACCATCTCATCCTCTGTCATCCCCTTCTCCTCTTGCCCTCACACTTTCCTAACATCAAGGTCTTTTTCAAGGAGTCTTCTCTTCTCGTGAGATGGCCAAAGTATTGGAGCCTCAACTTCAGGACCTGGCCTTCCAGTGTATACACTCAGGGTTGATTTGCTTCAGAATGGATAGGTTTGTTCACCTTTCAGTCCAGGGGACTCTCAGGAGCCTCCTACAGCACCACAATTCAAAAGCATCCATTCTTCGGCAGTCAGCCTTCTTTATGGTCCATCTCTCACTTTCATACATCACCACTGGAAAAACCATAGCTTTGACTATGCGGACCTTTGTCGGCAAGGTGATGTTCCTGCTTTTTAAGATGCTGTCTAGGTGAAGCAGGCGTTTTTTAATTTCATGGCTGCTGTCACCATCCGCAGTGATCAGGGAGCCCAAGAAAGTAGAATCTGTCACTGCCTCCTTATCTTCCCCTTCTATTTCCCAGGAGGTGATGGGACCAGTGGTCATGATCTTAGTGTTTTTTTTTTAAGGTTGAGCTTCAGACCATTTTTTGTGCTCACACAGTGGAAAGCAAAAACCTCCCATCAATCCAAAGTGATTTTAAGAAAAGTTCCTTACCCAGGAACCTGGATGGAAATGTCTTTAAAACACAGGCATGCACCAAATATAGTACACATCATATAACCAGCTGTTCTGAAAATTCTGGCTTTTGTCAATTATCATTTAAAACTCTTCAGAATTCAGGAGGACATCACAACAGTCCTAGAAACCAAGTCAGGTGGCTTGAAGCAAAGGATTTTGTCACTGCTTGCACACATAGTCAAAGGCGATTTGGAAGGAAGTTTAGTGCTCCTTGTGCGGTGGCTCACTGCTCAGGGGTATAGGCATCTGACTGCAAAGGTTGGGAGTTCAATTCCCCACTGTGCCTCTTTGACAGAGGCTGGAATTGATGATCCACAGGGTCCCTTCCAGCTCTGCAGTTCTAAGATTATAATGATGATTCCCGTTTTTCTTGCGAAATACAGGTTTGGAAGTTCTTGTACTTAACAAAGAACAAAATTAATGTTATCTGTTCCCTGACTTACCATTTACAGGATTCTTTCAATTCTGGGCTAGTCAACACTTGCAAATAGATCAAAATAGGCTTGTCTAAAAAAGTGGGGAGACAAATAGAAGAGAAGGACTTTCATTTTCAGGTGGGACCTTTCATCTTTTTTGTGCTAGTTAAACAGGATGTTTACTTTTAACCCAAGCCCACTCTTCAGTCAGTCAATAAGAAGAGCACTTACACTGGGTGACAAAGGAACTCTTCTGGCTTGATATAATCATAGTTCAAAGATGTAATGAAAATTTCTTTGTAAACAAATGGCACAGTGCAAAGGTGAAGTTTCAGCTCCACTGCATTTTAAAAGCACATTCCAGGAGAAGAGCACAGTGGAAGGAGACAAAAAGGAATGAAACCAGCAATTAAGAGCCATCTAAAACTGTGGTTCAACATCCCTTAGTAATGGAAGCATTATTGTGCTTGATTGCAAGGATGTGAATCTCACAGCCTCTTACTCTTGTAAAAATTCAAGAAAAAGATCCACTTTCCCTGAAAAAAATTAACAGCAAATTTCACAAGACTTCTCAAAACTTCTGTGGCCCTTTTTCCTTAAATACATTCTTAGGTTACACAGTATTATTACAATTCCTACACAGACTGGCAATTTCTCCAGAGCAGGATTCAAATAAAAAGGAAAGAAGAAACACCAAGTGATGCAGGATTGTTACAATAACGTAGTCTTTCCTGCACAGGATTCACTGAAAAGGGCATGAATCTGCGTAGAATTTCACTGTTTCTTGCGCAAAACAACAGGAAATTTTTTTTGGGGGGGGGGACAAAACAAAGCTCTCATTTTTGCAGAAGCTCAAGAGTCTTGCCAACACAAGAGAAAGTCTTGGCAGAGAATCTCAGAAAATTGCCAGTGCTCAAGACCATCCCTGTTTCATCAAATCAAGTAGAGCTCTGTTAGGATCAAACAAAGGCACCACGTTATCTACCATCCTGCTCCCAGGGGTAGTCTGCTAAGATGCTTCTGTAAAGCTTACAGACCAGATATGAAGGGCTCTCCACTGCTGACTCCTACTAAGGATACAACTACACAGTAAGGGGAATGCAAATTAATTTGCATTCTTTCACTGTAAAATTGCACAGGTATTTGGTTTTCTCCAATATGATTGGCCACAGAAGCAGAGGAGGAAAAAAGCTTTCTCCTTGGACTTAAAGGTGAAGTGCCTGCAAGTGGCGCAATTCAAAGGAACTGCCTTAAGAAGACTTAAGGAGATACTTTTTTTAAAGGAGTGGCTTGTGGAAGGATAAACTTTGCAGAGAGAGGTGAGTGCTGGTGCAGCTTCTCTCTCTCTCTCTCTCTCTCTGCTTTGCAGAGAGAGGTGAGTGCTGGCGCAGCTTCTCTGTCTGTCTCTCTCTCTCTCTCTGTGTGTGTGTGCATGCTCAAGTTTTTTGTCCTCCCTCCAGAGGTGAGGGGACATGCTCAAATTTTTTGTCCTCCCTCCAGAGGTGAGGGGAAAGCTGCTTTGTCAAATCGCCGCTTTGCATGTGTGTGTGTGTGTGTGTGTGTTGCCGCTTTGCATGTGTGTGTGTGTGCATTGGATTTTCAAAA